TGTGTAAATAGCAGTTACCTCTCACTCATTAACCTTGCCCGGCGCTGTGGGCAGAGCTGGATCGTTGCACCGCGTTTTTATGGCTTCCAATTACCCAAGAATCTGTGCGCACAACTTCGATGTCAACTTGGGGCTGTTTGCTTTCCCTTTTCGCCGTAGCTCCGGCTCGCAGACTTCACTTTAATGCACTTATAAAGAAACAACTCCCGATGTGTGAAATAAGTTTGTAAAAATGGAACAAAACTGAACATTTCTCTGGCAGCTGTGTACGTTAAAGACTCTACCTGAATTCTAGTTTTTATTTAACATTTTTGCAATAACCCAAAAACCAAAACTTCATGCATTCCAAACATCCTAATTATTGACCTTGATGAATTTATAAACACTTTTCACAACTTTCCAAGGCCAGAGTGGCATTTTAGGTAACAGGAACTGACATACTACTGCACACTTCCTGATCAACGCTTTATAATTAGATGCATAGTACTTCTGCATATTAATAGCATATCTTCATACAATTTGGTTGCTGTACCATGAAAAAAAAAAAAGAGAATTAAAGCAATCACTAGCTTATTGTTTTGAATAAGCGTGCCTTAAAGATACACTGTGTAACTTGTCCATTGGAGGGGCCGTCAACAGCTTGTCTCCATGGAGATTTGCCTAGAATGTTCCACAGTATGACCATGAACTTAAGGATCTCCATGGACACTTGCAAGTCAAATTACCATATTTTTCGGGTTATAAGTCACTCTGGAGTATAAGTTGCACCAGCCAAAAATGCTTAATGAAGAAGAAAAAAAAACATAAGTTTCCTCAACTATAAGCCGCACTTTTGGGGGAGAAATGTAATTTATAAAATCAGAGAACAGGATTCGACATTTCATCTTGAAAGGCAAGTTATAGTAAGAACAATAGAACAGAGATCACGGCTGAATAAGCGTCTGGTATGTTAACATAACATATTAGTAGTTCTTCATATAACTACAGCATAAACAACATAACATAAGAAGTTTACCAAACTCTCTATCTCACTCCAAATCACTAAATCCATTGAATTCTTCATCCTCGGTGTCACTTCTGAGCCACTCGGTGACCTCTGGAGATAAACAGAGCGCCGCTTCCTCTTCTGTGTCGCTGTCGTCGGACTCAGCATCAGTTCCAGTTAGAATTATTCCAGCCTTTCTGAATCCCGAAGCTTTGTTCTCCATCCCCACTTTCCGCCAGTCCCTCACAAGTTTCTCACTCACTCCAAACTTTCTGCTGCTCGATTACCGGTTTCGGTTGAATATTTCACTACTTGCTGCAGGACAGCGACTTTTTCTGCAGGAGACATGCGCAGTAGAGGGCGAAGTGACAGTGGTACAGGAGTACAGGAGTAACAGATACTGGCCCCACCGACAGTAAGAATCAATGTTTTTTAAGATGTTTTTGAACAATAAATAACATCTGTACTTGAATAAATGTAAGACAGATTTGTTTAATACCATACAGTGAACCATTTAGACCAGAGCATTAACATTACCATGGAGACAAACAAGTTGTGGACCCTTTCCAGAAAAGTTACACAGTGCATGTGAGTTTTACTTTTATTAGAAACATAAAAAGCAGAACAAGTGCATTTTTAGAAGTTTGCATTGGTCCAAAGTTATTCCTCAATTTCCTTATGCAATCAGAGCAACCAAATTACTCACATCAATGAGTTTATAAGCACTTTTCACAACTTTCAGAGTCCAGAGCGGAGTTTTGGTTAAAGAGCATCCTAATTATTCGATTATTTAGGGTTAGAGTATTGTTACCGACAACTAGAATGCAACATCACACTTCCTTATTTGAGGATACAACTCTTCATAATTAGATGCAGACAGTATACACCTGACTTATTTTGACCTCAAGAGCTGTGTGTACTATATATCTGTACTGGGTTAAGACAAATTGTGTTCAGATACATGGGGATAAAAATCTGATATCAGATCTTTAAATATCTCACTCAAATCAGCCCAGAAATTGTGATGTCCTATAGAGCAGGGACAGATTAGCACTAATGCTCCTGCACAGGCTCCTAATTAAAATGCCTGAGCGGTTCTCAGTATATAGCTTCACCTATATTCACAGGATTACTGGTAGCCTATAGCTTTCTTATGTACTTAGAAGTTTGGCGTTTCATGTGCCAGTGCAGACACCAGTATAATAAGAGTGTGTTTACTTCTCAAGAAACGACGACAGCAAGCCAAAATAATCATAGATCTTGATTGTCAACTCACAGCGAGCCAAGAAGAACAAATTAAAACAAAATCTTGTAGAGATGTAGAGCTGTTTTTTTTTTTATCCACCTGACATTGGCTTAAAGGTACACAGTGTAAGCTTTTTGGCTGGGGGTCCATCACCTGCTTCATTCTATGGATACGTCATTGCGCTGCCTGGAATGTTCCACAGTGTGACATTAAATCAAATCAAATCAAATCAGACTTTATTTATAAAGCGCTTTTCATACAAAAATGTAACAGAAAGTGCTTTACAGTGATTAAAAACAATCCCACATTTCCACCCACCCACCAACCCAACCCCCACAGCTGCCTAACCCCACACACCCAGACACACACAACGCAGACACACACACACACAAACATGCACGGACACACACACACTAACATGGTAAAATACACAAAACTACACCAAGTAGAATGTGACGATGAAAACAGCTCTGCCTTACTTTTATTCAATTACAGGTGTTTTTTTTTGTTTTTTTTTTTAGCTCAAAAATACCTAGATAAACATCACCTCTCCACAGATCTGACCTGTAACTTTGTCTGGTTTGGTCTCCATGTAGATACAAAGGTTTAATACCATACTGTGAAACATTCCAGACAAAGCAATGCATTTGACCAACCCTTCAACAGAAAAGTTACACAGTGCACCTGATTTTTACTCTTATTAGAAACATGAAAAACAGAACTAGAGCATTTTAAACAGTTTGCAGTGGTCCAAAGTCCAAAGAGCGTCCTAATTATTCACCATGATGAGTTTATAAGCATTGACACAACTTTCAGAGGCCAGAGGGGAGGTTCATCTAACAAGAACTAGCATTCTACTGCTTACTTCCTGATTAATATACAATAAAACAGTTTATAATTAGACGCATAGTACTTCTACATATTAATAACATATCTTCATGCCATTTGGTTGCTCTCATATTTTGCAGACTTTACTTTATTGATTTTTTGAACTTTTCTAGTAGTAGTAGTAGTAGTAGTTTTATTTGGTCATTTTGCACCACTACAAAACAAAACGAAACAAATCATGACCAAAAGGGTTTAGGCTGAAATAAAAAGTGCTTATTATGCCAAACCTTATAAAACGATAACAGAATTCCAAGAAAGAAAAGCAGTGTATGAACAGCAAGTTTGCATTTACAATTTCACTTTCGGCTTACTACAAGGGACAAAATATAAATTAAAACAAACAAAATTGAATGCGTATTGAATGCGATTCCAGAGCTCTATATCTTTCAAACATAACACTTTATACTTTTTGTAAGGCTTCTACAGTGTTTACTTTTTAAAAATCATCACTCAGATTATTCCATATTCTATACTAACTTCTTTTTACGGATATGTCACTGCTCTGCCTAGGATGTTCCATGGTATGGCATTAAACAGCTCTACCTTACTTTTATTCAATTAAAGTTGTTTTTTTTTAGCTCAAAAATACCTAGATAAACATTGCATCTCCACAGATCTGACCTGTAACTTGGTCTGGTTTGGTCTCCATGAAGATACAAAGGTTTAATACCATACTGTGAAACATTCCAGACAAAGCAATGCTTTTGACAGACCGTCCAACAGAAAAGTTACACAATGCACCTTTTAAATGGCAGAGCTTCGCCCCATATCTGAAATCCAGTTTTAGTCATTTTATACAGTTGTTGTGTCCTTGGGCAAGACACTTCACTCGTCTCGCCTGTGTGAATGGGAGTATGTTTGCACTTTTGGGGGTCACTGAAGAGGCCGCCGACTCTGATTAGTCGCCATGTTTTCCTTAGTCACCCCCAGGACAGCTTCTACAGACATTACCTTCCAGTTTACAGTGTGACTGAGGAATGAATGAAAAAATATCCTGAAAAACGCCATAAAAAACAAATAGCTTCTTCTTTTTTTTTTTTTTTTTGTTAAAACTTTAAAGGGCCTATACAGTGCCATTTTCTGATGCATTTTATAATTTTCTGTCATCATCACACACATACCTGGAGTTGTTTTTGTTTCCTTCATGTTTAACACACAAATCCTGCATATTTACGAGTTTATCTCTCACACAGAAAACACTCTGTTCCACCTTGTGATGTCATATGGTAATACAGGAAGTGCGTCACTGTGTTTTTAAACTCTATAAACTCATTTGGATGATTTTAGCCCTGGAATTGTCCATTTCTACTGAATTAAAGGTAGTTAACTTAAAAACTACCACTTCATGGCATCATAAGGTGGAACAGCAAGAAAAAACCTGCCTAACTATGCAGGTGTAATTTTGTGGATCTTTAATAAAACATGCTTGCAATTAGATATCATTTCCTTCAAAGGTTTGTCAACTTTTTGTCAAGTACACAGTTGTAAAGTTTGATGTTTTCAGGTGCTGCTTTATGGGGTGATCCTTATGTCCCTATGAGAGAAAATGCATTTTGGTAAAAGAGCATTTAAAGTTACAAAGTTCCATATAAATCAATGGATGCAAGTTGATTAAATGTAATAATAAAACATCTTCGATTGCAAATAAGACTGCTGTTGTTTCCAGGTGAAAGCTTATGTCTAGAGAGAAAAATGACTAAAAACCTTTTGGCTTTTGTGTCGCCTTAAATCCAAGGAATCATTATTATTATTTGTTGTGATTTATTGATTGACCTTTTCCTCCTGCTGCTCTGTACAAAAAGTCCACCCTGATCAACACATTTAAAACCTCATCCGGTGCACACTGACATTTGGACTAAAGTGCTTTCTCTTATTTTACAGGCTTATGGAGGGGACGGCTTCATTCAGCGAATCAAGCGCGTAGGCTTTGACGCCCGGTCCACTATTATGGTAAGTCTGTTTATTAGGGTTGTCAAAGAAAGTCCATACACAGATTTTGATCAGTGCTAAAGCTTGAAACAAAACCAGATTTTTGGGCGGGAACTAAACATGGAACTGGGCTAAGAACTAGAACAGGACCAATCGAGTTCCACATCAGGACTAAACCAGAACAAAACCAATGTGTCCCACCACTTGATAATTAACGAAAGTACTGTGTATGTGCTGGCAATTATGATCTATAATAACTTCTAAAAAGACATTATTATCAAAATCAGTATTGAATGTTTTTTTTTTCCTTACTATCAAACACTATGAATGAAACTTTTATATAACTTAAAGTAGCAATAAACACAAGTCTTTTTTTTTTTTTGCAAACTAGGTACATTTGCAGCTTTTTGGTCAAACACTGTGCTGCCTCCAGTGAATCCTCTTCTGTAAATAAAGTAGTATGTGACATCACACAGCCCTGATTACAAAACAGGGGTGGAGTTTGAAGTACGGATACCTGTTAGACCAATCACACTGTTCTTATGCCTCCATAGCTCCACCCCTCCTCTTCCTCCTCACTGTTTACCTTTCTCTGCGTTCGATTATCCTTCTGAATCGGTTTTCCGTGGAAGTTGCCTAGTGACACGTGTGACATGCCCCTTTTTCTGGGAAGGCAGAGACTCAGACCTCGGTGGCGGAAAAAGTAGACTGAGCAAGGATTCCGAGTCAGAATCCAAGATGGCTACGCCCACTGTGACGCGTAAATATGAACAGTTTCATTACGTTTGGACACTTCGGTGGTTTAAATGTCAATTTCAGTCACTCGTTTTAATGCAGTACCTTACCACGTCCGTATCACTGCCTGTGGGTTTGGTAGTCAGTGTTGTGGTGAGGCCAATATTGAACAAATAATTGATTTAAGGGGTTTTAACGTCCCTAAGGAAGAGAAATCATAACATAAAATGAAGTGCAAATTTTAAAAATTAAATTAAAGTGTCAGCGTTTTCATAAGATGAGGGAATAATCATAATCATAAACAACATAGTCCGACAAGCCAAACATAATAATACGCTTCAAGCTTGGACGTGAGGTCAAATCCAAGGTCCAAGTGGGAGTCGATGATAAAATGCAGGATCTGTCCACCAGTTTAGCAGCTTTGTTTGAAATGTGGTTGTGGGAGGAGTTTCGGAGTTTAATCCCACTTTTACGCTTGCATTTATTTCTAAAAGAGAAAAAAACAGCCAGAGAATTATCAAAAACTTGTGGATAAACCCGTGACTCTATCTTAGCCCTGACCTTCACCGTTTCCCAATTTAGCCCCAAAATACGCTGAATTTCCAACCTGCTCCTCTTTAGAACAAACACACCAGCACCCTGCACTTTTTCTCCTTTGGGACTAAAACAACATTGAGAGGACAGGACAGGAACGGTCCCGGGATTTTTGCAACGCCGGCAGTTAAAGTGGAGTTGGAAGCGGGACGAGTCAAGCGTACCCCCTCACCCCTCCCTTGTTTAGGCCGAGTGGTTGCTTCGTCTTTTGGGAGAAGTCGAATTTATTTTAGCGAGAGTGCGATCGGAATGTAAATACAGCTGTTGCAGTGCTCCTCAGTTGGCACCGGGCGCAGTAAGAGTCAACACTGCCCTTTACGCTGTCCTTTATAGGCATGCGGGGAGGTTGTAAGGGAAATTATAGACTTTAAAGTAGGTCCGGTGTGGGAGGTATGACTGCTTTGAGTTTGTGCAAGAAATACACTCGGAACAAGTTGTGAAAATGTTACAGCAGCTGATTTCTTTTCCCTTTTTTCTGTTTTTTAATCAAAGATTTTTTAGATCAGTGGTTTGCCTAATTTTGAGTTAATTTTATCCAATTTTATGTCATCTTTTGGGTAATTTCTTGTTTAAAATTTCAGTTGAAATGATGTAGTCCACTTTTAGACCTGGTTTAGCCCTAGATTAGACCTGGAATAGACCTGGTTTTGATCTGTTGGTACTTGGAAAGCCAAATCTTTTCTTTGGTTGTACTTGTGAAAAGTTTGAAAGCCACTGTCCTAGATAATTGGCGAAAATGTAATTGGTATCAAAACTACAAAGATGCTGTTGGATGGGTAAGAACAGTTCGTGCTAGCTTTGATCGGTCAAGCCTTATTTTGAACTCAGTACAGACCCAAGTAACTTTTTTGTTGCTAAATAGAATCCTGTTAACTGGCAGCAATATATCAACAAAATATAGTGGTGTGAAGGTTTTAGTTAATATTTTGGGTTGAGTATGTAGAGGAGTTTCTTATTTATGAATAAAAAACAAAAAAAAAAACAAAGTGATGGTACAATTTATCTGCTCCTTGATTAGATGTTGACTAGAAATTGCTGTACATGATTTTGTAGTACAGATTTAATGTATTATAGCTCTTTCTATCAAAATAATCATGTGCTGTCTGTATCAGATTCAAATCATAGCGTTTTTTGTGAATAAGAAAATGTTTTTAGCATTACCAATACATGAATGTCTTTACGAAGTGAGAAATAACTTTGGGCGGCTTCAATTTGCTTCATTTTTAAAGACAGAAAATCATTTACATGTCAGTGCCTTCAAGATACAGTTGGAGAAAATACATACCTCCAGCTAATGTACAGTATAACCTTACACAAACATTTATTAAAGAGGGAGTACTATGCAAAATCAATTCTGACCTTCCAAAAACATGCCTGGAGTGGTTTTGTATGTCCATGCATGTTTGAATAATTTTAAGATCTCTCCTGAGCCCTAGTCTAACCCTCCTTGCGGTTAACAGTACAATCCTGCGTCACCCTTGCTCCCACACACCAATTTTCCATAAATATACAAAAGCATGATTCACAACAATACACTACAACTTCATAAACCTGATCCGATGTGCAGTAGTTTAACGGTGCACTGCGTAACTTTTCTGATAGAGGATCCGCCACCTGTTTGTCTCCATGGAGATATTACTGTTCTGCCTTTATTATTCCACAGTATGTAAATAAATTTGTTACTCACGATGAAGACAAATTAATGTTCACATCTCTCTCCATATTTTCAGACTATAATTTGCTCCGGAGTATAAATCGCAGCAGCCAAAAATGTGTAATGAAGAAGAAAAAAAACATACAAGTCACACTTTTGGGGGGAAATTTATTTTATAAAATCAGAGACCAGGAACCCACATTTCATCTTGAAAGTCAAGTTCTAGTAATAACAATAGAAGAGAGAACAACAGACGTGAACGTCACATATGAACAGTTCTTCAGTTAACCATAACATAAACAACAGAACAGAACAAGTTTACCAAACTCTCCATCTCACGCCAAATCACTAAATCCATTGAATTCTTCATCCTCAGTGTCACTTCTGAGCAGCTTCACGACCTCCGGAGGTAAACGGAGTGCCGCTTCCTCTTCTGTGTAGCTGTCGTCAGACTCGGCATAAATTCCAGTTGGAATTTTTCCAACCTTTCTGAATCCCGAAAGGATGGTTTCAGTTGTCATTGAAGTCCAGCCTTCAGGCATCCAGTGACCTACAGGAAAGTTGTATGGTGCACCTTCCTGGTTGCTGTGAAGCTGTGTTCTCCATCCCCGCTTTCCGCCAGTCCCTAACCTTCTTTCTCCTGCTTGATTACTGTTTGTGGTTGCTTCTTGCAGCAGGACAGCGGCTTTTTCTGCAGGAGACATGCGCAGTAAAGGGCGAAGTGACAGTGGTACAGACGTAATAGTGGTAGCAGATACTGACAGACGAGCCTAAAGCTCCCCCTCGAGGCTGTCAGTGTGAAAATTTTAATATATAAATCACAGGACTACCCTCACCATGAAAAAAGTGTCACTTGTAGTCCGAAAAATATGGTATATAGAAGCAAATCTGCACATTGAATGAATTTTTGAGCTATAAAACACCTGTAATTGAGTAAAAACACAGTGGATATATTTGACCCTACTGTGGAACATTCCATGAAAGAAATAACATATCCATGGAGACAAGCAAGTAGCAGACCCTGCACCTTAAAAGTTACATAGTGCCCCAGCAAATATAGCATTTTAGGTTAAATGGTGATCTGAATATTTTATGTGTTAACAATGAATATCCCGTAGAAGTTTAGTACTCACTATAATACTCCCTATATAAACCTTTCTCTAAGAATACATGTACTACAAGACTTTTTGGCCCTGAGTAATTGAGTTCTTATTGGTAGCGCTCATCTCCTCTCCTCCCTCTTCAGAAGTGAACTAGAACCATCTCGGCGGCATAATGACCGGGAGACAGCGCTCACCTCTCCTCCGCACTCTTGATATAGAGCAGACACCATGAGCGAGCGCCGCATCAGGTCCAATGACTCATAGTTAGCTGTGTTAGCATAGCGCACAGCCTCTACCTCATCCACTCTCCCCGGGCCCCCGCTATTACCATCATTCTTCCAGTGGCAATGACTGCGGGCTATGTGAATGTGCTAGGCTATGTTCTGGTGCTGACACTTGCGGTGATCCATTTCCCGGGTACGCTGGGGCTCATTCACAGCACTTTTTTTTGTTCCTGAGAAATTCCCAAAAACTTTCAGACAGATTTTGTGGAGCACAGAATATGTTTTTTACTTTTTATACAGCCTTCTTTACACAGCACACTGTATTGCTTGTTTACTGATACGAGTAGTATAGTAGGTTTATATCACTACATACTGTAACAATACTCTACATACTCTTACAGTTCATCCTAAATAATTGGAGAGTTGGAGAGTACGCATATATTGTCAAAAGCTGATCATGGTGTCAAAGTAAGACTGCTGTGTGCTTTCTCCATCTAATTACAAAGCAATGTTTATTATGTAGCGCTTTTCCACCTTCAAGTCAGCATTTTACGGCAAGGAACAACTCACCCATTCACACACACATTTATACACCAGTGTACACAGACACTGGGGGCAAGTTGGGTTAAGTGTTTTGCCCACAGACATAATGAAAGCATTCATCTGTGGGAGCTGGAATCGCAACCTGTGGGTCAGTGAAAGTTGTGGAAC